TGAGATAAATGAGACTTTTGTTTTGCTTCATTGAATTAATACATCTAACCTTCTGGAAGCTGGAAATGTGTTATACTGGGAGAAATTTTGTGATAATTAATAAACAAGAATTACAGAGTAATAAGTGTGAAGAAAAAAAAATTCTGTTGCTAAACATAGACTATCTTTAAGGTATATTTTTGGTCTAAGATTTAAATAAATATTCTGAAATATAGGCAGGTTGTATTCAGTGTATTCCAATCATTCCCAAACCCTGCCTACACTCCTCAGTATGTAAAGGTTTTCATAGAATTAGAAGATTAAAAAGGGCATTTCTCTGTTCATTGTAGCAGTCCCATTCAGTACATCCTGGACTGAGAGTTATCTATTTTCTGCAACATAAAATATTTCCAATAACAACAATGATAATACTCTCATTCCTTATTTTACATCCTGGGACAATAGACAACAAATGATAATATATTTAACGTATTTATACCACCTCTCATGCACTGTATCATGCACTAGGCAGTGAACAAAATTAGAAATGTATTTCAAAACAATTTTAAAATGCACATTGCAATAATAGCTAAAATTAATATAGTAGCACTACTGTGGAATCTCAGATGCCAGGGTAAATACATACATTTTTTGCATACTCCTAAATTGCAGGAGAATCAGTGAGGCTTTATTTTTGAAAGGGGGTGGTGGTCCATTTTGTATTTTGTAGTCTGTGTTTATCATATATACATTGTCATTGTATTTATTCTGTTTTTATTCTTTTGGATTGTGAGCCACCCAGTTATTTTTTAAGATGGGCAGCCATAAAGCATTTTAAACATAAATAAAATCCAAAGAAAGGGTTGTAACTATACACAAAGCAGTCCCTCTTCCTGGTTCATATCAGATTAACATCTCAAGATGTGGTACCGCCAAGAGGCCTTCTAATGAGGTTCAGAATGCTCAGGAAGATGTCAGTGGAATAAGGTATTCTTTTAGATATCATGATCCCAGTTATTCAAGATTTAAAATAAATGCCAAATCTTAAACCTTGGCTGGTGTAGTTTTTTCAAAAATAGTGTTACACAGTGGCAGTGGTGAGGTGCACCATATAGAGGTAATGCTGCTATTGCATTTTGTACTCTGTACCTTTTGCTTTTTTTAATAGTAATTTTATTAAAAATTACACGTACAATGATAAAAAAAATTAATACAAACTAAAAAAAATGTAAAAAAAAAACTTATCACCTTCTCTTAAAATACAACAGATGATCTTTTCTTCCCATACCCCATCTCTTTAAACAAATCCTTAAAGTCTTGTCATTTCAGACCTGACATCAGCAAAAGTCCATTAAGGGTTACCAGAGATAACAACATATCTATTTTAACCTTGAACAAATAAACCAACTTTATATTCCTTCCTTTTATTTTTAACATTCTTTACAAACTAAAAAAAATGTAAAAAAAAAACTTATCACCTTCTCTTAAAATACAACAGATGATCTTTTCTTCCCATACCCCATCTCTTTAAACAAATCCTTAAAGTCTTGTCATTTCAGACCTGACATCAGCAAAAGTCCATTAAGGGTTACCAGAGATAACAACATATCTATTTTAACCTTGAACAAATAAACCAACTTTATATTCCTTCCTTTTATTTTTAACATTCTTGATCTTTAGTCCCTTCATATAATGTCCTAGAACTTTATTTCTTTTC